CCATAAAGCATTGAGCTTTGGCCGCTCGCTTACTCTCATCATATGCAGCTCCCCACCTCAGAGCGGTGATCGGTCATGTATAGAGTGCAAAGCGTTCCAGCCACTCGTTCGCTCATGCAATATAAGCAGCTCCCCATCTCAAAGCGGCGGTCTGTCCTATATAAAATGCTCTGGCCACTCGCTTCCATTGCCTTCTGTGTTGAACACCGGCTTTGCTGCTGTTTTCTCATATGGGTGTGAAGTATTGCTTACACTATCCATAATGCATGCTGGCGTGGCTGCCGTTCATCGCCTCCTGTGATAAGCACCAGCGCAGCTGTTGTTTATGTGGGTGTGTAGTGCTGCGTACGTTAGCTACTGTGCACACTGCCGCTGTTCATCGCTTTCTATATAAGCACTGGCTGTGCTGCTGCTTTTGTGAGGAGGTGTGTTACGTATGCTACTGCTGCTTATGCTGGTGCTGCGCTATTCTTTGCCTTTCTATGTTAAACACCAGCTGGCCGTTGTTTTTCATAAAGGAGTGTAGTGTCGCTTACACTAGTCACTGTACACTCTAGCACTGACACCGGCCATCATATGATGATGCACCAGGTATACCACTGTTTTCAACACTATGTCTCTCTACACTCGCTTTACGCAACTGTTATCTAGCCCTCGCTCTACGCGACTGTTATCTAGCAATGAATCCAGAGAACGATCGTGGCCGAAACGTGGTCTTTTGTAATCAAAAACTAGTTGCCCTTGAGCAACGACTGTTCTGTTGTGTGGTGTGACAGCTGTAAGACAGAATACAGAAAGTTCTTCTGTATTGGAAGAAAAGTGTCTAGTTCCCTCCTCTCAGGGAAACAAGGTTACGTTAGGTAACCGGAGACGTTTTGAACTGCCGTCTTTTCTCTGGTAAGATAAAGTTCCAAATAAAAGCATAAAGTGCTTCTGTCCATGTCATTGTACAGAGCCATGACATGCTCTTCCGGGGACTCCAGAGAGTGCATTATCAGAACGCTCCCCCGGACTGCTCACGCTGAAACAGATCCTCTCGCAGGTTGGCCAGAGGACTGTTATTTCATTCTATCTGGAGAATGCCTGCCTCTATGTTCAGAGCTTCACAAGTGTTGTCTGATGTTGCTTCATAGAGTCGACTGCTCGATAGAGATTCATCTCCACTCCATGAGGAGTCTGGCGTCATCTCGTACTTGAACTAAGGCATGTCTGTTCAGGATATTTGGTTTGCGGCAAGTTGGTCCTCACAAAATGCTTTCAATAGGTTTTATAACCTGAAAATTCCCCTTTTTCGCATGTTCTGTCTATGCAGGGGAAGACGGCTGAGCAACCATTGGATGACTAAGAGATTTTGTGGCCACGCTCCTGTCTGGCGCGTGTTTCAACTAGGTTGTATATGCTGATGTGCAGTGCCATTGCTCGCACTAATAGCTACTGCATATGCAAAGCTGATGCATTCATGACACAGCTTTCTGTGTTCTATTATTTCAGTAGTATTCAGGCGCTACAGCTGTAGCTATCTGCTCTGTTTCTGTACTTATGAACTTGGTTATTCCCGCAGATTTATGCTGGACACTGTGAATATATGTCACTCGTAAGAGCTGGTTTAATGTTGTATGTACCAATACGCTTGTTGCTTATTATTACCACGCTCTGCATTTCATTAGTCCAGCGTTGCTCGAATGTGTACATTCATGAAATGTTCTCTCCCCTCTAAATGAGTAGAGCTCACGCACTGGATTATGACTGATCATAGTCCATTCAGGGAGTGTATTAAACCATCATAGACTTCTGCTTTTCAACCACCCAGAGAGTGCAACTGGGCTTTGTTGTGATGCGAGCTCGCATTTCACAGGGGTGCTCACAATTTGTAACTCATACTTCCATTCATTACGAGCTGAGAAGTTTCTGCCTTTAAGAGTTCCTAGGAAGCACTCAGGCTGCGGCTTTGGCAGAGTGCTTTGCTCTCACTCATAAGGCAAAGATAGTGAGACTGTCAGCTCTTATGTCTGTCCTCACGTCCCCCGCTCGTTGCGGGCGACAGGAACTGTAATGGCCTTTGTGTCCGGATCGTTCTGCTATGCAGTGCATTAAATCATAATATATCTATTGAAACGTGCATTCAAGTGAGTGCATTGAGACAGACCCTTGCAAAGGTTTGGCCACTGGATTATATCAGTGGGGCTTGAGGTATTCGGCCAATCACAATGCACTGGATAGCTGGCTAATTAGAGCACACCTCGCTTTTCAGACCGATGATTTTTTTAAAAATCGACGCGTTTCAGAAAGACGGGGAATAGAGGAGAAACAATAATGTACAGTATGTGGAAAATAATGTGTTTTTTTAACCTTAAACCGCATAAACACATTTCATTACACCAAATACACAAAATAATGTTCTTTTTAGCAACATCATATGACATTACCATAGCGAATATCAGATGAACATGATGAACATCAGACGGACAAATCCACAACATATGCAAACGACAAAGTGCTCATGAAATCTGAATAAAGATTTATGCTTTGTATGTATGCGTTAATTCACCTTGTGAATTGTGAATACAATTCAGCTTGTATTGTATATCAGAATCAATTTCAGATACTAATACCAGATATATATTCATGTTTAATATTTCCTGTGTAATTACGTACATAAAGAAATATATTTTGTGTTGGATCAGTCACCTATGTCGTCAAGTGTGCAGCTGACACGCCCACCTTAACGATTTCAATATAGTGCATATCCTGCCCGAAAAGACCATAAACATTGCAGATAACATCTTAAGTAAAAATTTATTTACATACACTTATCTTAAAAACTAATCCCGTGTGACTGATACGCTTCAAATCGGGTGATGTTAAGTCAGTTTTTTTGGCTGTCAGTCAGTGGTGCTCCCCGCCGGCAGGGAATAGTAAGATGGCTGCTCGAACACGTCCGGTGGCTTCACCGCTGAATGGCAGTTTAGAACGCGATGAGCGATCCAGTCATATATATAGATCAGTGCTTGCAACGCATTCATTGTCCTTGCAGGCATCAAGTTAGCTGAAATCAATGTTCAGCATTCATCTTAAACTGTTGCAGCCCCACCGAGTTGGCAGTGTTCGACTAAGTCGTGTAAAATAAATACTGACTGGGGATTAGCACCAGTGCTACTGCTGCCTTCGTGTTCATCTGCACTGTGTTAACCCTGCATGCATTATGTTCATGACAGCATTGCCGCTGCAATGGACATCAGTACTAGGTGTGAGCACGACCGCCACCATTAACTGCACAGCACGGTCAGGTTTGCCACCGGTTGCAACATTATGCAATATTGTCTGTGTTGCTGCCGCATGCATTATTTGGTCACCAGCACACTGTGACCGTGCGGTGCTCACACTGTGGATGTCACATCCTGGGGTAAACATTGCTAAGCGATAGTGCCGTCGCCTATCCACGTGTCTGTGTTTCTGAATGGCTGCTGTTAATGCAATCTGTCTAATGCTTGTGCAACTTGCTCTTATAGCGGCTATGCCGCTGAGCTTATGAAGTCTTCTGTTGTGTGAAGTACTTTTTGCTGAGGTCAACGGCTTTGCTTGCAGCTGATTTGGACCTTTGCTATCAACACAGCGGGATTTAAAACGATCCCCAAATCTTCAATGATGCAGTGTCGAGAGACCGACTCGAGAGGGAATGTCTCCGGTTACCTAACGTAACCTCGGTTCCCTGAGCGGCGGGGACGAGACACTGCGTACGCTGCCATGTTGCATAGCTTGGACTCTTTGTCAGCTGCACTCTGCTTCATTCCAAAGATTCAGTGCCGCCTTATAGCGCGGGGGAGCCTGCCTCTATTTTGCATGCTTGAACGCCATTGGCGGGCGAACTCTCGTCCTCGAGATTTCATAAGACTTCAGTAGATTCAAGGAAGGAGGGGATAACCCCAAAGCGACATCTTCGATGACGCAGTGTCTAGTTCCCTCCTCTCAGGGAAACAAGGTTACGTTAGGTAACCAGCAAATACAACGCTTCCAGTGTGCGATACCTTCGAGTTGTCCTAGACGCGGCATGGCACTGCACTTCTCGTCCTGTGTGCGACCGAAAATTATGTCTGATAATTTATTACGTCAGGGGCTGCGTTTACACTTTTTATTAACATGCGACCTGTATCCGGATGTTGTCTACATACACATTTAAAAAAGACAAGTGTAAACGCGCTTCTGATCGGATTGTTATCCAATTAGCATGTCGTGGTCCAGAGGTAGTCGAGGAGGAATTGTGATCGGATCTCTGTGTAATATAAACGCAATCCAGACAACGTGTCAGCATTCGCAGGTCGACGTCACCCAAAATCCCGCCGCCTCTCTCCCGTACTGCCAAAAGACTTATTTAAATATTGCACGAAAAAAGAGAGATCCGATCGGTTACAGTCGGGAAAATATTTATTTGATCCAAAATACATTTCAAACCTTTTATATATTATGTTTTTTCTGGATTTTTTGGTTGATATTCTGTCTCTATCCGTTAAAATAAACCTACCATAAAAATGACAGACCCTTCATTTCTTTGTAAGTGGGCAAACTAAATCAAATAAATATTTTCCCCACTGTACCTAATAGAGAAGTCACTTGATGTTACCATGTGTAAACTTGCTGTGTCCTGATTGACTGATGATCACATGTTGATGCCAAGTGTAACAGTTGACTGTGTCAGGCATTGGAAATGCAAGTGCAAAGGAGATTGCAATTCCATTTGAATTTTGTGAGGGTTGGAGCAGGACGTGGAGAAAGTGAAATAGCAATTGTGTTATTTTCTATTGCTATTCCAAAATGACAGAATCTTAACTAGTAAGACATTGGAAATGCAATAGCAAATAGACTTTGCTTTCCATTTAAAATTCGGCAGACATGTTACATACACGGAAAAGAAAATGCAGAGTTTTACGAAGAACTAATATTATTTATGGGTTGGAAAAAGATGCAATGTAATGACGTTTTGATGTTTCTGGGGTTTTGTTCTCTATTTAATGTACATTTTAAAGTGAGCTCCGTTTGAAGGGAACTTTAGAGAGCATACTCACCTGTTTGAAAGCGCAGTGCAGCTCCCTTAGACCCACCATATGAGCGGTTTCAGCCAGCATCCTGGGCCCCATTAATTCACAGAAATCATCAAAGTCCACATGACCTCCCCCTATAAACACAAACACACCAGCAGACACATTTATCTTTACTTTTAAACTGACATACACTACCGTTCAAAAGTTTGGGATTGGTTTGATTTTTTTATGGTTGTCTGTTATGTTCATCAAAGCTGCATTTATATTATTAAAAATACAGTAAAAACAGTAATATTTTAATAGACTTTAATAGATTTTAAATTTTAAGTAGCCAATACTCCAGTGTTCAGTGTCACATGATCCTTCAGAAATCATTCTAATATGCTGATTTGTTGTGCTGTTTAATATTTGTGTGGAAACACTGCTACAGGTTTTTTCAGGATTCTTTGATGAATAGAAAGTTCAAAAGAACAGCATTTATTTGAAATTGAAATCTTTTGTAACAATTTAAATGTCTTTACTGTCACTTTTGATCAGTTTAATGCATCCTTGCTGAATAAAAGTATTAAAACTTTTAAAAAGATCTTACTGACCTCACACCTTTAAACTGTAGTGTAGGTCAAAAGGTTAGAGTATAAATAGAAACACACACACACACAAACACTCAGAACTCCTTAGCAACCACATGGCAACACCCTAGCAAGCACTTGCAAAACCTTAGCATTATAGTAGTGACTTCTGCACATGCAAGAACCACAAACCACTTACAATTCTTCACAAAATGTAAAAAAAAAATCTAGTTCAATAAGAGGTCATTCACACAGAACACATTTTTGCAGGCAGTGAAATGAAAAAAAATCAAGGTCTATAGATGTTTTTTTTTAAGCTAAACTTTTAACTTGAATGTTGTTGTTTTTTTAAATGCCATTTCATGCACAAGACGAGAACGCAACATTCAAAGACGCCCATCTAGAGCATGTTTACATAGAAAAACAACAAAGCAGTGCAGTGGAATACAAAAATACGCTATGTTTGAACAACCTCTAAAACCAAAATTTGACTAATACTGTCATCTGGCAACTTTATGAAAATAAAAGTTTCTAGTATGTGTGTGTGACTGTCGAGCCTCACCATATCCTAATTATGTTTAAATGAAATGCACAGTGTCATATTAACGAGCCAGCATGTCGTTCCAATACAGCCTCGCCCTCTTCTCACCTCCCATCTCTCCATCTTTCACTGTCTCTCTCTCTCTACGGAGGAGGAAACAGACACACAAAGACACTTGCGGGCTTGTTAATCACAGTTCCACGAGGGGGTCTCAGAGGCAGAGGTCATCGCTGTTATGAGCTAGTCTGTCTTTCAACATCATGATTAATTTGCATTTGTATGACAGTTAGTGGTTGGTTCTGTGCAAAGGCGTTTAACCCCACTGACCCTTTACTCGGCTCTATTATCTGTTTAAAATATACATACAATACAAATAACTTTCTTATAATTGCCTCCTAAGGACAGAGTAGCAAAAATGACCAAAGTCCTTTTTGCTCTGAAACAAATATTCTGCATTTTGATCATTTTAGAGACACTTAATAAATATTTCAACCGACAATTCCCCCACATAAAGAACCGCTTTTTTAAAGGAAAGTTGTGAGAAAACAGCCGACTATCTATAATATAAAACCTAATTTTTTTGTCTTCTAAATGAGCACCCTGCAATCCTATTATATTTCAAACTAAATTAAATTAAAATAACATTTATAGCAAAAATATGAAACTCTGTTGCAGATATACATTTTACGACAAGGTGTAATATCAAAAACAGTGACCTTGAAACTAACCTTTTTAAAAATCAAAAAGAACACAGTAAGGGGCCATTCACACAGAAGTTTTTACTTTTAAAAATGCAAGACATGTCAGTGGAAAGAAAAAAAACCCACAAAATTCTTTACATTTTTTTGTACAAGATGCTGCAAAATATGCAAGATGCAAGCATAATCACTTCCATCTAGCACATGTTTACATAGAAAAACAATGGAAAAGCAACACAGTGAAATGCAATGTTCTGTGTGAATAGCCCCCTAAGGAATGATTTACATAAAACACATTTTTGTGTTTAAAAACACAAGACGCTGGGCAGTGGAATGAAAAAAAAAAAAAAAGTTGCAGTTTTTTTACTTCAGCGCCGTGTTTTTTAGAACATGTGCAATAAAATAGACGCAATATACACAAGCGCAACGATCAAACACATTTGTCTAGTGAATGTAAAAGCGCTGCAGTGGAATACAAAAATGTGTTCTTAGTGAACACCCCCTATTGTTCCATGACAACCTACTGTTCAGTCAGTGAACTAGTCATCTGAGCCATATCAGTAAGGAAGTGAACTGTCTGAGCGTCAGAGTCATTAAAATGCACCAACTGAAAATTCCGTTGGCAGATTGGACCTTGTGCTGTATGTTTGCTTTTGTGCGCACTTAGTGAGGACGAAGTAATAGAAAGTTTAAATCCAGACTGATATTAATCTGATGTAGTGTGCAGGTCATGTGGATGTGCATATCACAAGCGTTCCAGGGATACAATCATCTCTGGTTGCCGGGCAATGAGGCACAATGCAGTTCCAGTGACGACAAGGGCTGTAATCCCGTCTCCAGGCAGAGAGTCACTTGTCATGAATCACAACTGTGGTAATCGAGATGAGATGACACTCAGACACGCCCACTACCAAACAGCCCAGAGAGAGAGAGAGGTGGGCAAGACATATCATGACAGAATGAAAGAATAAAGGAGAGACTGGAGACATTTAAGGTACAAACGAAAAATATATCCGAGCTGGAAATACATAAAAGTGGCTGATAACTGGAGAATCAATGAGTGTGGTTACATATATCATCTTACATAGATTATGCTTAATAATAACCCAATACTGTGTTGGTCATATAAATGCCTTAAACTCTATTCTTATAGTTTGGGATGTTTGGGATTGGTTCGATTTTTTTATGGTTGTCTGTTATGTTCATCAAAGCTGCATTTATAATACAGTAAATACAGTAAAAACAGTAATATTTTAATATATTTTAATAGATTTTAAATTTTAAGTAGCCAATACTCCAGTGTTCAGTGTCACATGATCCTTCAGAAATCATTCTAATATGCTGATTTGTTGTGCTGTTTAATATTTGTGTGGAAACACTGCTACAGGTTTTTTCAGGATTCTTTGATGAATAGAAAGTTCAAAAGAACAGCATTTATTTGAAATTGAAATCTTTTGTAACAATTTAAATGTCTTTACTGTCACTTTTGATCAGTTTAATGCATCCTTGCTGAATAAAAGTATTAAAACTTTTAAAAAGATCTTACTGACCTCACACCTTTAAACTGTAGTGTAGGTCAAAAGGTTAGAGTATAAATAGAAACACACACACACACATTTCATTTTTATCTGCTGAATGATCTCAATCAGTTCCATCTCTGTTGGCATGTATCCCATGGTTCTCATGCAGTCTGCGACATCTTTGTAGTGCAAATACCCATCCTGGTCATAGTCAAACTCTTTAAATGCTACATGCAGCTCTGAAAGGAAACGAAATGTAATCACATTTAACCACACTGCCAACTTTTCTTCAATTTGCAGTATACCATATTTGGCTTAGGTGTTATGAATGGACAATGGTGTGTGTGTACACACACACACACATACACGTATATATATATATATGGATTTTGTCCCACATTAATCGTCTTAGCCTTCTTAGATCTATCCAAATTGTATTTATTAGTTTTAGTATTTAAAATGTATTTTAAATTTGTATTTTTTTTTTATTGTGCTTTGTTGTTAATTATAATGTGCTACTCCTGTTTAATTAACATGTTTATTTTAATGTTAATGAAATTACAAAATCACACAGATCATGGTTTTAAACTTACATTAGGACATTTACATTATGCCACATACTGTACCAGTTATATAATCTATAGGACTGTGCAGCTTAAGCTGGTATAGGACCATCAGCACAGGCTGACTCACTGCTCTGGTATTATTAATGCTGCTTACGTCTTCATCCGCTGTATGCCATTCACCATTCATGACAATACCAATCCATTTTTATTTGTTATTGAATTTTGTCAGTTATTTTTCTTATGCTGAATGTGTTGTAGCAATTGAATTGTGTCTGTCTAGGCGCTGTGCACTGTCTCGGATATTAAATATGCATGTTCTGTACATACCATCTAGTTCCTCTGGCAGTAAATCTCTGTCCTGGTGAAAGTAAATGGGAGAGAGAGAGTCCGAGAGAGGTAGAAGGACAGAGAGATGAGAGAGCAAAATGACAATGAGGGTTATGCTGAATGTGTTGTAGCAATTGAATTGTGTCTGTCTAGGCTCTGTGCACTGTCTCGGATATTAAATATGCATATTCTGTACATACCATCTAGTTCCTCTGGCAGTAAATCTCTGTCCTGGTGAAAGTAAATGGGAGAGAGAGAGTCCGAGAGAGTCCGAGAGAGGTAGAAGGACAGAGAGACGAGAGAGCAAAATGACAATGAGGGGAAAAAATCGTGACAAAAACAGCTAAATATGGAAATTATTACAGCATGAGAGCTGAACGTCCTTAGAGACATCGCCCATTTTTAATCACTAATAACTGAGGTTTATGTTAGTATGCTTATCAATGCTGCTCAGTGGCACAATGACGCATAGAGTGGGGGTGGGGGGGGTTGTATAATTGGATTACACCATAACATGCCCTACCATGCCTCACATCAACGCTAATACAAACAATGAACGGCAGAGAGATTCAGGGAAAAAATTAACTCGTTTTGCAAACATAAAATGTGTATATGGTTAAGGGGCAATGTGTATTAAAGGAAAAAGAGAAAGAACGTTTAGCAAAGAAACGGTTTAGAAACTATATTATTATTGCTGTATTTCGTAAATATATCCTCTCATACAGTTTTATTTAGATTCATGGACATATGCATGCTTTAATATATTAAAATCATACAAATACACATGCATATACGCTATACAAATAAAGTTGACTTAAAAATGTTTGACTTAATAACAAACATACAGTATGTATCTGCTAGCACTTTCAGAAATAGATGCATTTGCACTGGGCATAAACATGCAAATGCATGCACATTTATTAATTTTTTTAAATGGCATGTGATTATTATTAAACTGTTTATTCTATTTTTTTTTTATGCAAACTTGGCCTGTAGCTTCACGGTATAGTCTAACGGATTTCACATATAGTCTTTGACTATATAATAATTTATTGAAAAAAAACATTTGAGCCAATAGCTTCATGAAATGAAATTTCAAGCAGTTTGAAATTTCGGTTTCAAGCTGGTTTTCTGAATGCTCTCCTGTCTTACAAATCCAGTGTTTTTGTTCTCGTAGGGAAAAAAGCATATGTCCAAATTAACTTAGCATGAAAGGTAGCTATACTGTAGTTTAAAATAAATCTGTCTGGTTAACCTCTTAAAATTGTGATTTTTGGCCTGTCCTACATGTTGCTTGGACCTCCCGCAGTCTTGGCCCTCTTAACTGTATTGAAATTTTATTTAATATTTATCAGTTTAGTATTTAAAATGTGTTATTTTATTATCTTTTCTGTCTTCCATATAGGACATTAAACATATAGTCCTACCCCTAACACATGCTATTGGTTGAGCCAGTGTTTCTGTGTCAGATTGGTCTGGATTTTTAATCAAATCATCTTAATTTTTTTATTGCACCATAAATAATCTTTAAATTGCTTACTTTCTACATATTAAGTATTTTAGCATCAAAACAAATGACACTTATCAACTTTAATTTCACCTAACGACATTGTTCCTGCACTTAGCCAACTAGATAACCTCGTAACTGCAATGTTAATCCAATGTGGCATGAGTATGTATATTAAAACTTTTATTAATTGATTTGTAAAGCTGATACCCAAGGGCATTGCTGTCCTTCAAATATTTCATTCACTGCATTCATTGGACTTTTGACCTTCAAATTCCCAAAAACACATATTTATTATTAAAAATAATGCATTACTCATAGACTTCTCTGGCAGAGGTAGCGGTTATGCAACTTGGTGAGTTGCTTAAGGCTATTTACCCTTGGATATATGCTAATAGGGTCCCTTGTCTATCTGTTTTTATTTCATTCATCCCTCTAGTTCTGTCGAGCAGAAGCAATGAAGCTTTAGGCTGTGCATACATGGGTATATTCTCCATTTTGTGTCGGAGCACCTTTGTCTTGTTTGTCTCTTAGACTCTATCCATTATCTCTCTCTTACTATTCTACAGCGTCTCCATCTTCTGGCTTTCACTTGCTCGCTGGCTCTCTCTGATCTCCAGACGTACTCTTGAAAATATAATCAAGCGCCTCTGAGTTTAAATGACTGATTCAGTAACTCGTAACAGATTCATAGCGTCGGTTTTAAAAGCAGAAGCAAGATGCTAGCTTAGGTCTGAGCTTCAGTGTACCAAAATAATTTTTTGACTTGGCACTTGTTACTGACCTGATTGAGAAGGAAGGTAGTGTGTTGACAGGCGGCAATATTTTCTCCGCAGACGTATCAGATTATGAACCTGACTTCATGCTAAATAAAGACGCATTGATGTGCCATCCTGGATATATCGGTTTAAATAATAAAAATAAGTCAAACAAACTAGCTAGACGGCTATAAAAAAGTCCATGTGTCTAAAAACACCTTAAACCATTCTAAGCTAGTTAGCTGGTTTTAGTTGATCTCTCAGGCTGGTTTTAGACACTTTTCAACCTGGTCAGTCTGGGAGACCAACACACATTAAATCAGCTAAACACCAGCTTGGCCAAGATAGGAGACCATCTTAAGCCAGCTAAGACCTGTTTAGGATGGACTGATTTATTTATTTTTTTTTCAGTAATATGGTGATAATATGGTGCAGTGATGGTATCAAATGATAATACCATGATGCTGAATCAGTGTTGTTGTAAACTAAAAATTATTAAAAATAGTTTTCAATAACTGAAATAAAGCTGATATAAAATAAAATATTAGATATAAGTATTTTAGCATCAAAACAAATGACACTTATCAACTTTAATTTCACCTAACGACATTGTTCCTGCACTTAGCCAACTAGATAACCTCGTAACTGCAATGTTAATCCAATGTGGCATGAGTATGTATATTAAAACTTTTATTAATTGATTTGTAAAGCTGATACCCAAGGGCATTGCTGTCCTTCAAATATTTCATTCACTGCATTCATTGGACTTTTGACCTCCAAATTCCCAAAAACACATATTTATTATTAAAAATAATGCATTACTCATAGACTTCTCTGGCAGAGGTAGCGGTTATGCAACTTGGTGAGTTGCTTAAGGCTATTTACCCTTGGATATATGCTAATAGGGTCCCTTGTCTATCTGTTTTTATTTCATTCATCCCTCTAGTTCTGTCGAGCAGAAGCAATGAAGCTTTAGGCTGTGCATACATGGGTATATTCTCCATTTTGTGTCGGAGCACCTTTGTCTTGTTTGTCTCTTAGACTCTATCCATTATCTCTCTCTTACTATTCTACAGCGTCTCCATCTTCTGGCTTTCACTTGCTCGCTGGCTCTCTCTGATCTCCAGACGTACTCTTGAAAATATAATCAAGCGCCTCTGAGTTTAAATGACTGATTCAGTAACTCGTAACAGATTCATAGCGTCGGTTTTAAAAGCAGAAGCAAGATGCTAGCTTAGGTCTGAGCTTCAGTGTACCAAAATAATTTTTTGACTTGGCACTTGTTACTGACCTGATTGAGAAGGAAGGTAGTGTGTTGACAGGCGGCAATATTTTCTCAATGCAAAATAAGTCAAACAAACAGGCTAACTTTAGGCACCTATAAATGGGTCACCTGTCTAAACACATCTCAAAGTAGTCTAAGCTAGTTTGCTGGTTTTAGTTGATCTCTCTGACTGGTTTTAGAGTGATTTTGGGCACTTTTCAGCTTGGTCAGTCTGACTGGTCACCCCACTAAACCAGCTGTACACCTGCTTGGCTTAGATAGGAGACCATCTTAAGCCAACTAAGACCTGCTTGTGGTTTGTTTATTTATGTATTTATTTATTTATTTTTCAGTAATGTGGTGATACTGTGGTCCAGTGATGTATCAGATTGTAAATACAATAATGCAGAATCAGTCTTGTTATTGGAATCTAAAACTATGAAAAATAGTTTTCGACGATTGAAATAAAATAAAATACTAGATGTGATATTTTAATATATTATAATTTCATATAAAATATGATATTATAAATATTATATGAAAAACTTAAACATAAACGAAAATTAGAGATGTTGCCTTGGCAAGAATTGAAATACAATTTTTAAGTTTTTAAAATGACTAAAATTAAAAGTAAAAAAAAATTAAAAGCTAAATAGAAATATTAAAAAATAATAAATTAATAAAAATGGGAAAACAAAAGAAAATTACTTAAACTTAAAAATGAAAATATTCTTTTAAAAAAATCACATTTACAATAAAAAAAATACTGTAATATTACATGTAAGGGTGATTGCCATAATTTAAATGTTGCTCCAAGGTACACTGAAAAATAGCATGTTATTACTATGGTGCCTTTTATATTAGTTTTATTAGTTATAACCTGTTCAAAATGATTGTAGTAATTTACATGTAGATCATTCAAAAAAACCAGCAAGAATACATCTAGAGATCTACTCTAGTTCACCTGTCCAAAGAGAGTGTTGAGGTACTGTGTATATGCTGCAGCGATAGCTGAGTTCTGGCTGAAAGATCTACTGCCGCGGCATTCTTGGCTGCCAGATGAGCCCCTGTGACCTGAGTTTTTCGAGTCTTTTGAGGAGCTACGAAGAGCAGAGCGTGGAGGATGAGCATCTGATGTGGATGCTGGAGGACCAGAGGAGCTGTTAAAGGGAAAGAAGAGCGGAAGTGACCACTCCGCACTTCATCTCAATCGATGCAAGTATTGATTTAGAGCCACCCATACCTTTCTTTTGAAGAAGTTTTACTTCTCTGAGACATGCTAGTAGATAATGAGAAGGAGAAAGGGAAGATTTTAGATGTTCAGAGAAGTTTACTCATGTTATTCTTTCTCATCTCATATGCCAGTTCGTCCACATTGACAGTGTAGTTACATAATTTTTCATGAAACATTGATGCAACCATGCCCAGCCCATTGAAGTTGACGTATAAAACATAACGGCAGTTTTCTGGCCAAGTTACTGCAACCTGTTTTACCCTAGATTTCAGCGGTTGGGCAGAGGCCTCATTCCAAAGACGAAAATGGCCACTGGGTCACTTCCTGGCATTATAATGGTCAGAAAGGTCATAGGCTGGAATTACAATGACCACTTCAAATGGCAACAGTTTGATGCCATTGTTTTCCCATTGTAGAAAGGTTTCTGTTTAAAGAGAAGGACACACGGCATAATCAAACGCACGTTAGCGGCAGATCCAAGAGGACGGACCGTTCCTCCGAGCACTGAATTAGATTACAATGGAGGTCGACAGGCGCACAGACAGCCTATAAATTACAATCAACAGTTTAATATGCCCAAGAAAACAGTGAACCTCTGTCTGTCATCTGCCCATTAAACAAGTAATTAGAACCGAAATTGTCAATGGCTCCTCACAAGCAACATGCATTAATTCAAAATGAGTGAATCATTCACACGAAAACATTTATTTCTTAATGTCTTGGCAATTTGATTCTGTATAAATCTGTTGTGCTCCATTCATTGGTTTGGGAATAAAAAAAATAAAAAAAGCTAAAATAGAGAAGAAAATACCAAAATGTCTTGATAGTTTCTCTTAGACTTCAACAATATTGAATGAATAGCAAAGTGCGACTTTTACTTCAAATTTCAGATTAGTCCAAGATCTCACAATAGTCCAAGACCAAATCCACATATACTGCATAGAGTGCAACAATCAGAGTCCAGAAGTAAAAAAAAATTATCCATCGGGGAATTGAATTTAAAAAGATAACTTGTAAATCTTTAAAGAGCTATAAAGTTGGTATGTGCCTTTGTTGGAGCTATCATCCTGCATTTTTTCAATTTTGATTTTTTTAAAATCTTGTTCAACAATGGATTTATTAATGAAAAACTGCATTACCCAGTATTCTGCAAAGAAATCTCCACCAATCAAAGAATTAAAGAATAATCAAAGCTCCTAAATTCTCGCCTATTCCCATGAAGCACTGCGAATGACAAGTCAGTCTTCTTACGCTGTCAAACTACTTAAATAATTGCTTTTATGCATATTTGTGTTTCTGTATATATTTCAATAAATGTCAAGATATGTTGTTTCTATGCATAATCAACATTTTTAAATAAATATATAGATTTTTATATTAATTTAAAAAATAAATATATGCATTTTTAAATGTATATATTAATATATACATTTTTTATTTTTTATTTCCTTTTAATTCAATTTCCATTCGCAATGCTTAATGGGATTGTAGTTCATTCACAATGCTTTATGGGATTGTAGTTCTTTCCTTTCTTTAATCTTCGATTTTTTTATTTTTTTATTTTTTCAAATGCCTTTTTGCTTTAAATTAAAGTTTGTAATGTTGTGTAATGTGTTAGCTGGTGGGTTTGGTTCATATAGCTTTAATAAAGACATGTAAAGGAAACTGGCACTATTTTGATGTTTCCCCTGTATTATTCCATGGACTCAAGCTCTCCAAGTATGTATCGTTGCAACTGTAGTGAAAATGATCTCTGCGAACTTCATTATTAATATTAGCGAAACAATTGCATTGTTCGTCTTGTTGATACAGCAATTGTTTTGTACAACATGGACTTTTTTCTTAGGAGAAGCTTTAAATTAATATAGGCTAAAGATAAAATATACAATAATTAAATTTAAATCATTATCTCATGTCCACATAATTATTTATTTGCTTGAATTGAAAAGGGTGGCTTTGATAAATCAGTATGTTGACTCAAATTAAATCTGAAGAAAATGTTAAATAAATGCTTCAGAAAATTTCTAATTACGTTTGAGTCTTCATGGCACATAGTCTCAGCAAACTGATTATTCATATTTCAAATGAGATGAAACGTACTAAAAGACAGTACGTGGGCTCCGTCTGCTCTGGGTAATTTGGTGAATTTATTTCAGCGCACTAGTGACTCTCACCGAGAAGAAAAACCTGCCTCACTAATCTAAAAGAGTTATTAAACTAAGTGACCAATTGCTGTAATTCTGCACGTTGACACAAGCAATTTCAGCTCCTAATTCCTCTAATTGGAATAATTTAACGGAGGAGTGTTGGGATAATTATGGAACAAACTGATAGAATCGTCAGAGAGCCAAAGCTGTGCTGGGGCAAAAAAGACAAGACTGCTCCATTTTCCCCCTAATTACGATAAGATACCGAACCTTTTTTTATGTGAATTGTGATACACAGAAATTAATTACTTCTAAAATTACATATGAGATGATTGGTTTGCTGGAATGCTGAAAACGGTGACATTCCTCCACCTAGTTTTATTTTCTTTTATTCTTTTTTCTTTTTTCTTTTTTTGCTGAGCTCATGAAGTAAAAAAATTTTCATGGCTGCCACCTTTCAGGGCTGGCCTTCCAAAAATGACTGCATCTGACAGATGCAGATTAGATCGAACATTGATCTGCTTCAGAGATAGAAATCTTTTGCACCCTGAAAGACTCGATCACATTGAGATATCTGTCCAGCCAAGGGCATCAGATACAGGCTTTCAAATGGCTTTGTCTTACTGTTTGACAGCTGAATAGAAGTGTTGCTGGTGTTAGAACTTTGATAAACTTTTAACTTTTTTCAATGTCAAAAATCAAATTGAATTCAGTTATTTGTATAGCACTTTTCACAGTATGTATTGTTACTAAGCAGCCAGTTGCAAGGAAAACACCCTAATACATTAAAACCAATAGGAAGAAACTCAGCTGTGGAAGTCTTATCTATCCGTTTCATGGTGACTTATTGTTTTATTTTTTACTCTAGGGTGGAAACATGCTTCCATAGATATGACAGAAGTTGAAACATATATGTTGCATAACTGAGGTTATTTGTAAGGAGAGCTAGGTTTTGTTTACATTATGTTAGACCTTAGTTAAACCTTAAGGAAATGGCTTAATAAACATACTAAATGTCATCATGTATATGTAAAAATGCAAAAAGTGTGGTTTAGATTAAGGTTTAAGAAGAAGAAAAAAAAAGCATACAGTACTGGGACCGTATTATGGCCCCTCGGTTGAAATCGCATTCCCGGGGGAACAGTATTTCAGCTGGGCCCCCCGTGCGTTAATCAGTACCGTTCAAAAGTTTGGGGTCTTTAATAAGAAGTCTCTAATGCTCACCAAGGCTTCTTTTTTTTTTGTAAAAACAGTAATATTGTGAAATATCATTGTCACTTTTGATCAATTTAATGTGTCCTTTCTGAAAAGGACAGTTTTCAAATTTCTTTTGAACTTTTAAGTAGTATATGTTTGTGTGCTTGTGTGTTAAGGATGTACGGTTTAAAATAGTTATTAAAAGCCCCTTGTTTACTACAGTATTTCTGTCTTGTTTTGTGATCTTCTCGTGAGATCCATCACAAGGCCTTTGGCATCAGATCAATCACATATTGCAAGAACTTTCCTGGGTTACATCTGAAAACAAGCCACAGAACAAACGCTCAGATAGGCATGATCGATCCCCATTACCGATTTTGTGTCATGGCGCTGAAATGAGGCCGGCCCCCTCCTTTGCCATTACGGCCACGCAGTGATGGGATTTATCTTGCTCGGCCTGGCAGCCCCTGACAATCCACTATCAGCTGCTGTGTTTAGAGTACCTGCTGTTTACATAGACCAACTTTACATCTGATTGACTGCATTCAAAGGCTCATCACTTCTCTATGGCTGACATTCATGTCCTTAACATTACTGCAATTATTTTCTGCATATGTTTCAGTAATTGCGATCTGACTGCTTCTCTTCCTGTCAGTTTCTGTACTAATACAGCAAAGCTTTTGAAAAAGATTGCCGCTATGGCTGTCACCATATGCCTGATATGTTACTGTTGAACATGCTTTGTTGTTGACGTTTGAAGTCAATTGGGCCCGTTTGTAACCACAAAAGAGCTTTTTGCGAGTAGAGAATTTATGCAAGATGCCTCTAAAATCTTACTACATTGTTTTTTCAGCTTACCTTCAGAATGAGGAGAGAAAAACGTACAATCCAGAACCACTTGAGTCAGTCTTCTAAAATCAATTCCTCCTCTGAGAGAATGTGTGGATTGACTGTAGAAAGTGACCCTCCTTTGATAATCTGAGTAGGTGATAATCTGTCTAAATATGTTTGGATTAGCATGTGAGATGAGCGTGTTGATGATGTTTAAGACGTGCATGTGTTCCTGTGAATGTGACTGTCTGGAACAGACACATTACTCTGCATTTATCTATGATTGCACAATGTAAAAAGTTTAGTTGCCGTCTTAAATGTTTAAGTATAATCAAATTGGCTGTATCATTTCAACATTATATTAAACTGACTTAAAAAAATTGAGCTGAATCTGGCATAACTTAAAAAAAAAAAAAAGTTGAAATTGGTTATTTTGATGAGGGCAAGTAATGGAAAAACATATGTTGACAATTTTTTACATGTATTTAGCAGATATCAGTATGGTTAAAACTATAGGGGTTAGTTGTCACACAGGGCTATGTCTCAGTAACTATACATTTTTATGTCAAAAGTCAGAGGTCATAAATTTGTTTTCTTTAGCTAGTACTAGTATTATTTTTATATTAATTTTATTATTATAGTATTTAGTCATATTTTTTTATTTTCAGTTTATTTTATTTTTAGTTTAAGTTTTAATCATTTTTATGTGCTTTTGTCATTTTTGTTTAAATATTTCTGTTTAGATTTCATTTATTTTATTTCAATTTTACCTTTAGTAATTTTAGTACTTCAGCTTTTTTATTTCAGCTAGTTGCCATGGCGACATTTCTCATTTTCATTTTCATCTAATATTTATGTCTTATTTTATTTCTGCTTTATTTCAATTCATGAAAACTAATTTTAATAGTTTTACTTAACAATAACAACAGTATTTTTCAAACTGTCTCTTGTTTTTTTCTTATTATTTTTAGTAAGGTTATTATAATGTTCTATCTGTTATTCACATATTCTTATTTTGTGACAGCTTATTTACATTGTGATGTTTTTGAAGTTGTGTATTTAGGGACTTTTTATTTAATAAAAAGAAAAAAAAGTTTCTATCTACAAAGTATATGGAATGCAAAAACTTTGAAGCTCAATATCTCAAAACCACTCAGAATGCAGATAGAACCGTGTAATTCCAAAGTGGCGATTTGTCTAAATGTTAGGTTGGGACAAGTTGTCACAAATTACAATTTCATACAATTTGTACAAAGATATGAAAATATTGTTTTGGTCTACATTACCTTATACATTTTTTTTGTTTTCTGAATTTGTTTTTCATAATTGTTTTACTGTTTAGAAGCCTATAATGGACTGGTTCCATTGTGAAAGTTTACTGCATATAGTGTGACAACATTGCCAGCTATTGGGGCACGTCGTCACAAAAGATCAATGGTGTTAAATGAACTGTTTTCTTTTTCCTGGCCAATGACAGTGGAAATGATCAATAGGCTTTTTGTAGCCAAGACTTTAATGTATGTGTCTATACAGAAATTGATATTGAGTAAAAAGTGTCATGGCTAGCCCTGGTCTCCCCTTTGCACTGTGTCTGTGTACTGATCCAGCATTTGACCCAGTCAGCCGGAGGTCAGGCAAGTTTATCTGAGAGATTGATTCTAACTTTGTTCATGAAGTGTGAACGAACTCTGAACACAGCAGTGACAGCTGATTGCAAGGTTCATGAATGCAATTACAGCTCCAAACTGTGACATAAATAACCTCAAACTTTTGCAGCTAATAAGGTCCTAATGAACGGCTGTCATAAAGACAAAGATTTGGATAATGTATTTAGGAACTGTTCGGCCACATCATTGCATGGACTTTTAATTAAACCAGAGAGCTTAACCCTAGGGCAGAGTCTCATCTTGTTACCAGACTATGTCTCGAAGATAATCATTAAACATTTTAATTAAGATAAAAAATGGATAGTAATACAGCCGGGGTAAATTTAAAGTCCATAATAAAGCTTTATAATGAAAAGTCGCATTATTAAATCTCAAATTCATGGTTGCAGCAAAACAAAAGAACACAAAGACCTCTTCTGTGTGTTTCTTTAGCTCCAAGGCTAGGAGAATGTTTACAAAATATGTGATTGCATGCAAAGTAATGTACTGTAGCCTACTGTACATTATGCTTAATTCCCCTCTGCATATTTATGCCAGATGGTTTTTAATGTATTCAAGACTCTTAGAAAAGGTCATGGGTTCACATTATTTCAATATTATACATGCTTACACAATGCCAACCATTTTCAACAGCTTATTTACTTCTGTAATGTCGAGGTGAGCGTGCCGGCCGGGAGATGCCGTCATAGTCTATCACGCTCGATTATGCTTACTGTGCTTTAAAAAGGCCTGATTTTGCGTTGCAAATTTCCCTCGCAACTTTTTTTTTTTTCTCAGAAACAACCAAAAGGCAAGTCAAGCAATAATGTTATTCTAGTGTGAGCTCCCAATAGACATGGGCCATTTAAAACCAAGCAACATAACCAGAGTCAGCGAATTAAACTCCTGCTGCCATTGCCAATACATAAACTCCATATTCAGTGAAATGACAGTGTACAGTTAAGTGAAATTCTTAGAATGTGTGTGTTATGAAGTTCTGAGGATGTGTGGCATGTGGATTCATTCTGGAAACATTGCCTACAAGAAATAGCAAAGTTGACACTGTGCAGTACGTGAGAATGTTTACATTTCAGCGGGTAGTGGTGTGTTCATCCATGCGGGCTGAGGGTAAAGCAAGGTATGTTTTTGAACAGGGACTGTTATAGATTAGGGTTCAGGTGTGATGTTGCGGAATGCTAGAGGTGACTAATGATTCTGCATAAGCACATAATGGCAGCATTCTGCTTCATTAAACATGGCTTTAAAATTGCTAGACACTCAAAAAATAAGATGTCTCATGCTGGTTTTGTGCGTCGACTTGGTCTCACACAGAGAGGGATGCGTGAATAGATCCAACACTCGCACACACAAAAACAGACCATTGTCATACACATAGTTTTATTTTTCTAAGTATGTGACAGTGCAGACTGGAGTAATGTTCATGACTTTTTTCATTTAGATTACCCTTGCTGTCATGTAACGCTCACCTAAAGTTAATCGTAAATCACCAAAAAGTTAATAATTAGTAACACTGTTAAATGTAACCTTTAGCAGTTCTCCAAAAAATGAATATTCATGTTATACTCTACATTATAATGTTGTGATGCCCGAATTAATTTCTAGCATTTAAAACAATTGATTTTAGTTTTAAGTCTTGTGAAGTAATGTGGAATTTTAAGCTGTTTATCGATTCTCTACCATTAAAATGACATTAAAATAATTATAGGCTTATCAGTACAAGCCAGAATTTTGATATCAGTGCATTGGTAATTTAAATGGTGCTTCAAGGTATTTTAAACTAGAATATCATGACATTACTACTATGCCACTACAAAAAAAGCAAGGTTTTTCAGGGTACCATGTCCAAAAAACCAAATACCATAGTTATTTTTTGTAAGTTGTCTCCTTAATGACTGACTGAATTCTACTCTCTGCTAGTTCTTGCACACATTCTCACATTTCCATCCAGTTGTTGTTGTTATTGTGTAAGTAATTTTTTTTGTGAGCCTGTTCGTAGCATTGATTTATGTCTCTATGTATGTTATTCCTTTTTATCCCTCTTTCCTTCCCTCCTCTTGTCTTTTTCTCTTTATATTTGCATTTTTATCTTTTCTTTATACCACAGTAACCTTCAAATCCAGTCTATCGTCTTGCCCTAGAGGTAATATCTGGCACGCTCCATTTCACTATATATTCCTGGCTGTATGTTGAATAGGGCCAACCTGTACACTGTATGTCTACATCTACATATGCATTTTTCGCATGAAAAGCAAGGCCCCATTAGGGAGTAACAGGAGCAGAATGAAGGAATAATAAGTGAAAACAAGAGAAGGATGAAAGGTGGAAAAGAGGATGATGTATAAGAGAGAGAAAATGCAGCAAGGGGGAGAGGGTAAAGATGAAGAGGAGGGATAAATTGGGTCATTAGGAAATGTGAAGTGGCTGAGTTGGTACCAAGCAGTGAGTGCTGTGCTTGGTTAGTCCCCAGCTCAGGATTATCCCTGGAGCGGGACTAATTTAAACCCCTGAGAGAAGAGTTCACAGACAGACAGAGTATGCATTGTGATAAATACTGCATAACTGCACACTGCTACGTGAGACTTGCGTAACTTCAAAGCCGTGAAAGAAACTTGCTGCTCTGTGATTTATTTTTATCGACCCTGAAAAGTCCCGCAGTAAGAGCAAAATATCTTCCAAATTCTGGATGAATGAATCTGTCCAAATAATAAATGATTATAAAAACATTTTCTATTAAAATAATGATAGGGATAGGTTTTTCTTTGTAAATACAGACTTGCAGCATCTTCAAGAATTAATCATTTGCTGTCTGTCTGAATGAATAAACTCTTTTCATTGCATTAGTCTTGTTTTCTTACCCTTCATTTTAAAAAGTTACATTGATCAATTGAATAATTCTAATTGTTTAACTGCCATACTGTTAAAATCTGCATTTTTATGTAGAGTTGTTATGATGTTTGATTTTTTTTTTTATCTTTGTGAATGATTCACCTATTCACTCATAATACTCACTCACTAGTTGCCAACTACTAGTATAATACTGATCCATGAATCAGTCCAAAAGATAAATGGGTAGAATGGGTTGATTGAAAGCATGGATTAATTTTTTTATATATTATTTTATTTATTATTATTTAATATTTTTATTTATATTATTATTGTTTCATATTATTAATTTTCATTGTGTTTATTATTGTTATCGTTATTTATTTTATAATATTCATATGTAATTTTATTAAATATTTTTAATTATTCATTTTTATTTATTTTATTTTATATTAATATTTGTATTATTTTATAACCTCTTTTGTTTTCACAGGTTCATTTAAATAATCCGTTTACAATTTTTTTAAAATGCAAACATTCCA